AACTGAGGCACGGGGACCAAGTGACTTGACCAAGCTCACCCAGCAGCAGAGGCCGAAGCAGACCCCAGCTCCCTTGAATCCCACTTCCGTGCACTATCCACTAGGTGACAGTGCCTCCCTGAGATGCTACCCTCCTTGAACTCGCTCGCTGCCAGGCATTTTGTCCAGCCCTCAGATCGCTTTTGCGGCTTGGTTTCAACAGGGTGAGGGATGGGGATTTCAATCCAGCCCAGCCCAGCCTCCTGCCTGAGCCCCCATCACCAGCTGGACTGAGGGCCTGAGGCAAAGCTCAGTGGAGTCAGGGCAAGGTTGTCTACTGATGGCACTGGGTGTTGAAGCAGGACCCATTGTGGCTTTTCTGGCTCTCTGCACAGGGCATGATGTTTGCATTCACCAGGTGCCTTTGTGCCTTATGTAACATGCAGGTGGGGTGGGTGCTCCTGGCACAAAGGTGGCTGCCTCTTGGCGCTTTGTCTCCCCAGGGCTAGGCGGCGGCTGCCTCCTGGCAACGGGGCTCTGCACATGCACGGACAGGCTCTGCTGGTTGCCCTGGAGGCTCTGGATGTGATGCACTACAGACACCAGGCAGGCCTGGGCCAGATCCCTCCGGGGAGCAGTCCCATTGGGTTGGTGGCGCTTTTCCAAAGAGCTCAGCATGGAGAGCAAGGGAGAATTCCCTGCCCTCCAACCCCGTGCAGACCAGTGGAGACTTTCCTCTCCCTACCCCACTGATATGGATGGAAACTTCCCGCCCCCTCCGCCCACATTGAGAAAAATGGAAAATTCCCCCCTTCCTTCCACGGAGAACAACAGGGAAGCTCCTCCATTGAAATCCCCATCCCTCACCCTGTTGAGTGCAATAGAGGCTGTTGGGGGTCTGAGGTAGGGTGACCACACGTCCCGTTTTGGCCTGGACAGCCCCCCTTTTTAAGCCCTGTCCCGGATGTCCTTTTTTGGCCAAACTGGGCATTTGTCCCATTTGCTCTTGCCAGTTGCAAGTTGCTCTGATCTGTTGGCAAGAGCAAATAGAATAAATGCCCAGGCTTGCCAAACAAAAGTGGTTTGCAACCCCGATAGGGGGGCGCGGAGGAACATTTGGGGAGGCCAGTGGCAACATGAGGCGCTGGGCGGGGTAGGGCTCGGGCAGTCAGCCCCAGTCCTGAGTGGCATGGGGCGTGGGCGAGCAGCAGGCAGCTTGGCTCAGCCTCATGTGTATCCTGATTGTACTTTGGTAAATATGGGCACCCTAGTGTGAGGCCTTTTAAAATAGGGGTGTGTGTGTGTGTGTGTGTAACGATGGGTTCCAGGTGTATTTGTGCCACGCCGAGTCTCCGTCAAACGCCACCTTGTAGATCTAGCAGCTGTCCCGAGCAATACCACCGAAATGCACCTGGTCCTGGGGTGGAACACGGCACTTCCTGCCCAGCAGGTTAGGACTGGAAAGGAAGAAGACAACGAATTATGTTGACGCCCCAGGGGATTTTTAATGGAGGATGCCGACAGTTAGCCCCGAGATCTGGGTTGGAAGTCCTCCGCTTTCTGGCAGTGTCAGAGCAATTCTGCGACTAGTAAGTGGGGCCCGTGCAGGGGAAAGAGCACCCCCTACTGGTTGGCAGGCAGTAGTGGGGCTCCCCAGCCTGGAGACGCGGTCACCGCTCCAACACGCACCCAGCTCAGCGCATTCCACCGAGGTTGGGCCACGTTCACCTGCCCCCAGGGCAGCAGCGGGCCCACATTCTGCAAATTCCCCTGTTTCTTCCTTTGGCTTTGGTTTCACTACGTCAGGCCCGACTTGCTAATCCCCTTGCCCAGTGCGGCAGCTGCATTCCTGGCCCAGATCATGCCTGATCAGGCTCGCGTTCCCGCCACTGATTGGCTCGACAAGGAACACTGATGGGTCTGGAACCAGAAAAACAGGGTGGAGGCCACGCTGACCGTTGGCTCTAACTTGGTATCACCCCTCAGCTGGGCCGAGGCTGCTGCTGGTTGCACTGTGTCACAGGGTGGCTGGCCCTTTACGGGGAGATGTCCCTGAGCCCCACCTGTGACACCTTCCCAGCTGGGGGAAATGAGTGTAGTCATGTGACAGAGAGGTCATGTGACAAACTTGGGCCAGATAGAGGGGTCTAAGGGAGAGCACCGTAGGAGCTGCAAATATTTTAGCGAGGTAGGGCCAGGAGCACCAGGCGGGACAGCGACTGGCCTGAGAGGTGCAGAGAGCAAAGGGATTGTCCGGGACGGAGGGCCGAGGACTCCTGGCTCAAGGAGAATGAGCTATTTGGGCGATTGAAAGGCCCAGCTGGGTGAAGGCAGCATGGCCAGCATGTTTAAGGATGAAGGCCCCGATCCTCAGAAGGGAGGTAGGCCCCCAAATTGGATTCCCTCCCCACCTCCAGCAGGGACATGTTTTAAAATGCTAGGGACTGGACGGAGTTTTTGAGGAGCCCTTTAAGAGAGGGAAACTGAGGCAGGGCGCTGCACAGGCACCGCAGGCCATGAAGAGGCGCTCTGGAGGAAAACCTGTTTACGTTCCCCCCACACACACACTTTTTGACGTGATCAAAGGTTGGGGCCCTGAGGGTTGCTCCAGGTGAGAGGGAAATTGACAAGGGAGTCTGGTACCCGGCAAGGAACATTTAAAATCCCTGTTTCCCTGAACACAGGAGGAACAAAAACAAAAAAACCCCAAACAGGAGGCAACTTCCTTATAGCACCAAGCTCAGGTCGCTGGTTCAGGCTGCAGATGTCTGGCTTTCCTCGTCACTCTCTGGTCCTCCAGCTTGGGCTGCAGCTCCCCCATATGAGCTCTTTACCCCGGCTTTGCCTTCAGTGCAGCTGCTTAGCTGTCTCTCACAGCTAATGTAAATAAGGCGTGGGGTGACCACAGTTTAGATGAGGTCTAACCCAACCCAACGGATAATATTTGTAGCCTGCTGACTCCTCCTCCACCCCTTCTCTGCTGTGTAGCACTGGGGATTGGCGGTCTAGTCCCAGAGGGTGGGTTCTAGTCTGTGGCAGTGATTTAAAAACACCTGTTTCTGGTATTTTGATGCCTTATTCATGCAAATGGATGGAGCTGGTTCAAAACCAGGCTGGCATCACTCCCCAGCTGGTGTCAGTCAGGTGTTGTTCCATTGGAATCAGCAGGCTGGATCCCCAGACAGGTCTAAACCATCCCCTCCCTTGGGATTCAAATCCCTTTCAAAGTTCTGATCCAAACCCAAACTTCCCAACCCTATAACGGGCTGACTCCAAACTTGCATCCTCTGTCGCCCCCTTGTGGTAGAGGAGAGCCAAGATTGGGCTGGGGTGCGAATAAAGGGGATTTTCTGGGGGTGTTGGTGGGGTTGCGTAAAGCAGCCAGGGGAAGGGATCTGCCGAGAACACAATTACAGCCAAATCCCGTCTCTTCTGTCCGGTGCGGGACCACACAGCACAGAGCAGCCCTGAGTTCAGCTCAGGTCCATCTTCGGCATATTTCCTGCTGCACTTCTTGGAGATCAGCTAGCATGGGGGAGGAGTATTGGTTAGAGCTGGTTGGGGAATTTTTTGCTGGAACTTTTTGCTGATTCATCAAAACCAAAACTCTCTGGGGCAACGTCGGTTCTGGTAAAACTTGAGTCAGGAATTCCCTAGGTGAGACAACTCCACTGTAGAGTTGTCACCATCTTGATTGTTAGGCCACTTATTTGGGGATCTAGGTGATGCAGGGTCAAGTCCCTTGTTCCAGTGGCCAAGCTCAAGAGAGACTTTAGATTCTGTAAAAGAGGGAAGATTCATAGACTTTTTTATTTTTATTTTTTTAAGGCCAGCAAAAACTGTTAGAGGAGGACCTTGAACCTGGGTTTCTCCACATCCCAAGTGAATATTCGAACCACGGGGCTAGCCCAGTGGCTCTGTGGGGTGTCTCCCTTGTGTAGTTTCATAACAAATTTTGAAAGGTCTTGGTTTGGTTTGGTTTTCCGATGTGGAATCCAAACAAATTTCCAAGCCTCTCAATGTTTTGTGAAAAGGGGCTTGTGTTTTCCAGCCGGCCTGGAATAACAATACCAGTTCACAAACTCAAACCACAGACTCCCAACCCACAAGTTTATACGGGTACAGAACGTACTTATAGACAGATGGCCTGGAAAACGGGACGTGAGCGTAACCTGCTGCAGGAACAGCTGCTTGAGTTTGCAGAGAGCCTGGGACAATTGCTCTGCAGGGTGGGATCTGCCCCGGCTCCACAGGAGCTCACTCAGAGGCCCAGCAATGGCAGTGGGGATGAACAAGCTCATTTGCCCGTTAAAGCAGGTGAGAGAGGATCAGGTTAGAAGCTGGGAGCAACAGCTCATTCTGGCACCACCAGAGGGTGGGTTTATCACCACATCCCCACCCCGGGGGTATTCCATGAGGACCCAGGGTTTTAGGTGCTTTGACTAAAGCACTTGTCTGCTTCCGACTGGCTGTGCATAACCAGAGCCTCACGGTGTCCTCTGTGTCTGGGGAGCTCAGCGCTCAAGGGCGCGGCCTGTAAAGCCATAACCCATGAAGGAGCCAGGCCCAAGATAAATCTTAGATGCTGGAAACCAGAAAAGATTCATAGATTTTTAGGGCCACCTGGCCACCTAAATTAGGTCATCAAGTTTGACCTCCTGTATAACACACCTCTGTCTCAGTAAGGTACCATGGTATCAGAGCGCCTTACAGCCCCGCCATGATACAAAGGGGGAAACTGAGGCATGGATCCACAAAGGAATTAAGACTCCCCATGCCCATTGATTTCAGTGCCTAAAAATTCTTGAGGATCTGGGCCTAGGGAGTCTGTAGCAGAGGAGGGACTTGAACCTCCGTCTTGCAGATTCTTGCCCAGCTTCTCTCCCAAGATTGCCCACCGGCTACGAATGCATTGAGCGCAATGGTTTGTGTAAGGCGGTACTGACGTGCCATACCGCCACCGGCAGGCTGGATCCCAGCCCTGCCCTTCCTGAGCTAACGTTTCTGCATCCCCTCCACAGCCAAGTACCCTGAGATCAAGAAGCTGATGGGTCCAGATCCCCAGCTGAAGTGGGTAGTGACCCTGATGGTGCTGACCCAGCTGGTGGCCTGCTACCTGGTGAAGGACCTGCCTTGGAAGTGGGTCTTCTTCTGGGCTTACGCCTTCGGGGGCTGCCTCAACCACTCCATGACACTGGCCATCCATGACATCTCCCACAACGTGGCCTTCGGCAACAAGGAGGCCAAGTGGAACCGCCTCTTCGGCATGTTCGCCAACCTGCCCATCGGGGTCCCCTACGCCACCTCCTTCAAGAAGTACCATGTCGACCACCACCGCTACCTGGCCGGGGACGGGCTCGACGTGGACATCCCCACGGCCTTCGAGGGACGCTTCTTCCACTCGCCGCCCCGCAAGATCCTCTGGCTCTTTCTGCAGCCCGTCTTCTACATCCTGCGGCCCCTCTACGTCAACCCCAAGCCCGTCACTGGCCTGGAGGTGATCAACGTCGCCGTGCAGCTGGCTTATGACCTCTTGATCTACTCCTTGTGGGGGCCCAAGCCCATCTTCTACATGATCGCCGGCTCCACACTGGCCATGGGGATCCATCCCATCTCCGGACATTTCATCGCTGAGCACTACATGTATCTCAAGGGCTACGACACCTTCTCCTACTACGGCCCCTTGAACTGGCTGACCTTCAACGTGGGTTATCACATGGAGCATCATGATTTCCCCAGCATCCCGGGCAGCAAGCTGCCACTGGTAAGAACTTCTCTGCTTGCAAGCGTCTGGCTGGAAGGGGTAGAATCCCTGGGAAAGTGGGTGGAGCCCAGCGGGGAACCAAAAGACCTTAAAATGGGCAGGGAACCTGTAGCGGAGCGGTCACCCCGCTCCGGGTTGAAAGGGGTTAAAAACAGCCCTAGTATACCATGAACGTGACACCACAGAACGCTGGGCAGTTGTGCATCTCCATCGAAACATCCCAGGGCAGAGATTTGTGTTCACGGTCAGACCCCAGTGTGTCTCTGCTTCCAGGTGAAGAAGATCGCTGCTGAGTACTACGACCATCTGCCCTACCACACCTCCTGGGTCTGCGTCCTCTGGGACTTTGTCTTCTGCGAGTCACTGGGGCCCTTCGCCCGCGTGAAGAGGAAGTACAAAGTGGCCAAGGCGGAGTGAAACAAGAGGGTTACCCAACAGAGCTCCCCGCTCTCCAGCCTCTCAGGGGACGGGGGGAGGTTTGACATCAGGGGAGTTATTTATACCTGTTGCCTAATACCAGACGTGTACACGCTTCATTTAAGGGTCAAATATTGTCAAAGACTCCACTGACCGAGACATGAGTCATTAGGCAGCCTGATCGGGCCATGGGAGCACTCCTCCTGGCCGCTCGGCTGGTGTACAACTACCCCAGACCACCCACGCCCCTCCCAGCAACCAACACAGGGGGTGCGGCCAGTGGTACTGGGACATGGCTGAGAAGGGGGTGTAGCTAGGGCATCTCCTGGGATCACCAGCTGCTGCTAACAGACAGTGTAGATTAGAGCAGCCTTCAGGCTATTCTGTGCCAGGGACTAGCTTGGCATCCCGATGGCTTTCCTGCCACCTTCATTCCCCCCACACCCCAGACTTCTTATCAAATGGTCCCCAGCCAATTTGGAGCATTGGCTGGTATGTGTACATAGGTATTACTAAGGGCCACCAAAGATACCTCGAATCTAGGCTGCAGCATTACAGGCCTGATTCCCCGCTCCCTCAAAGTGGTGTGATTCTGGAGTGACCCCATTGAAATCAGTGGCATTGAACAGGCATAAATCCATGGGAGTCAGTGGGGCTGATTCATGCCTCCCTCACCCTGCTCTAGACCAGGAGCAACTGCCCTAGTACGGATGTAAAGGAAACAAGAATCAGGCCCCTTATAAAATTTGAACTGTAATAAGTGAATACCCAGATCTGCAAGAAAGGACCAGGCATACATAATGCAAAGAGACAGCCCTACTTAATTAGTCATGTTCCTTATATTAAAAGTAACATGAGGAGAAGCTTCAGTTGGATCAGTGCCTTTTTTAGCTCCTTTGATGGAAAAAAGAGACTGAAAATATACATATATTTTTTTAAACCATCAGAATGTCAACTCTGGCTTGGTTTCTGCTGGAGAGCTGCTTGGAGGTCTCCAAGGTGTCGCTTGAAACCACTCCTGGAAAGGAAAGGGAGAGGCTGGCAGTTTAACAAAGAGAGCTCACCTCCCACCTGTTTGTGGGGCGCTTGAGTTTGTTGGTGTCACCGGGGATCTGGCCCTGGATATCTGCAAACCTTTGGTCCATACCTGTCTTGCATTATCTCTGCGTGTTTGTGGTGGTGGGATCATTTGCTTACAAGTGACAGGTGGGGTTTTGAAAGTGTAAATTAAGTTGGAGTTGTCAGATCTTACTGTGAAAGGGCGGGGGTAAAGATTTGATGTGGGAGCTGGGTTTTGTTAAAAATAATAATGTCTTATTTTATAGGGTCTTTCATTCTTAAGGATCCCAAGGACTTTACGTAATCTGGAGAAATCGTGTCTTTTGGTGCTGAGGCGTAGTGGCTGTTTCGTAGCACAAAGCTCCAGACTTCAGAGCGGGTCGTAAAGAAGTCCCATCTCTGATTGAGATTGCTGGGCAAGTTTAGAGAGCTGAACAGAATTACAGGAGTGGGAATTTTGCCAGAAGCCTGAGCCTCTTGGGGGAGGGGAAGCACCCTGGCATTTTTAATGATCACAAATTAGTCAAGACACTGGGTTGACGTGGCAACACAGCGCCCCCTAGTGCCATGCTGGAGCACTGAGGTCAGCACTGGTGAGGGGAGCGCCACCCTGTGAGTCACCCACCCTGCTCCCCGCAGCACAGCGCCCCCTAGTGCCACACTGCTGTCCCTCTCCCTGCAGCACCGTCCCTGGTTGTGTATTTATTTTCCACACAAACCCCTCCAAGTCCTGACCCATCAGCCGCCCTGCCGAGCTTGTGAGATCTCAACGCAGCCATAGCAGCCCGAGTGGGTAGGTCCAGCAGGCCCCTTCTACCATCTGTCACTCCCCCGGCCCATTTCAGTTCTGGAACGCCCAGCGCTGGTCCTCCCCTCAGTGGCACGGGAGGAGTTCTGCAGATACATCCACGGTTGTCAGCACGCGACAGCAGACGCCCCCTCCAGACCGATCCACGAGCCCCGTCTCTGTCCCCCAACTATCTGCCTTTCCTCCCCCAGTTTGTGTTGATCTCTCATATTATTTCTCCCTCGGAACAAGAGGGCCATTGACCGGTGTGTTGAACGCTATTCACTGCACTGGAATCACAGCAGGGGCAGGCTGAGTGGTGTTTTAGACGGTCTGACTGTGTGTGTGTGTGGTGCCAATCATGGGGCATCGGACAAGGTCTTTAGGTGCTACCTGAATGCATGTAATAATACAACCCGGACTTAAAAGGCTGGCTTTGGGATACTGGTTCGTTTGACGTTACAGAGCCGTGGAATGAGCTGGTTGGTGTGTGTCTGTGTGCACGCCCTCTGCTGAACTGAACATAAGACCGGCCAGACTGGGTCAGAGCAAAGACCCATCTATCCTCCTATTGTCTTCCAACAGCTGGTGCCAGATGCTTTAGAGGGAATGACCAGAACAAGGCAATTATCGAGTGATCCATCCCCTATTGTCCAGTCCCAGCTTCTGGCAGTCAGAGGCTTAGGGACACCCAGAGCATGGGGTTGTGTCCCTGACCATCTAGGCTAATAGCCATTGATGGACCTATGCTCCAGGAACTTCTCTCATTCTTTTTTGGACCCAGTTATATTACTGGCCTTCACAGCATCCCTTGGCAATGAGTCCCCCGGGTTGACTGTGTGTTGGGTGAAGAAATACTTCCTTATGTTTGTGGCACCTTAGAGACTAACCAATTTATTTGAGCATAAGCTTTCGTGGGCTACAGCTCACTTCATCTTGCATCCGATGAAGTGAGCTGTAGCTCACGAAAGCTTATGCTCAGATAAATTGGTTAGTCTCTAAGGTGCCACAAGTCCTCCTTTTCTTTTGCGAATACAGACTAACACGGCTGTTACTCTGAAACCTTTCCTTATGTTTGTTTTCATCCCGCTGCCTGTTAATTTCATGGGGTGACGCCTGGTTCTTGTCACAGGCGCCGACCTTTCAAACTGCCGGGGGGTGCTCAACCCCAGGTCCTGCCCCCACTCCATCCCTTAATCCAAGGCCCCACCCTCCCTCTTCCCGCCCACTTCCACCCCCTCCCCAGAGCACCGGGTCTCTGCTCCTCCCCCTCTCTGCCAGCCTCCCTGTACGCTGCGAAACAGCTGTTTGCCGAGGGTGGGAGGCGGAAGGCGCTGATCTGCGGGGCCGCCAGTGGGCAGGAGGCACCGGGGGGGGGAGAACTGGTGGGGGGCTGCTGGTGGGTGTTCCACCCCTACCATTTTCCCCCCGTGGGTGCTCCAGCCCCAAAGCACTCACAAAGTCGGCACCTATGTTTCTTGTGTTATGAGAAGGGGTAAATGACACGTCCCTAGTCACTTTCTCCGCACCAGCCCCAATTTTATAGACCTCGCTCCGATCCCGCTTCGGGCATCTCTTTTCCAAGTTGGAAAGTCCCAGGCTTTATAATCTCTCCTCACCTGGAAGCTGTTTCGTGCCCCTCCTCACTTTTGTTGACCTTCTCTGCACTTTTCCCACTTCTAATATATCTTGTGAAACGGGGCGACCCAAACAGCATGCTGTAGTCAAGCTGGGGGCGTACCATGGATTGATACCGTGGCGTTATGATATTTACTGCCTTACGATCTTCCCCTTTCCTAAGGGTTCCTAACCTTCTTGTTGCTTTTTTCTGATGGCTGCTGCCCAGCGAGCAGAGGGTTTTTGGAGCACTCGAGCCGCTCAGCCGCATTGTTGGTGCTAGCAGCAGTCCCACGCCGTTCAGTGGAGTCCTGGAAGAGGTTGTGGTCAGGCCAGGGGGGACGCTGAAGGATCAGTGCTGCACCCCGAGGGGTTGGGCAACTGGACAGCAGGTTCCAGCTCTCAAGAAGGGGGTGCTAGCCAGAGGGTTTGTGTCCTGAGAATGTGCCTGGGGACCCCAAGACTGGGGCAGTGGCTGGTTCCAGAGACTTAAAAGACGGTCACGGCCATCTAGTGAGTGGCCGAGGGGGGGCGCTCAGTTGGGAGCTGACTCACCTGCTGTATTGCTAATCACAAGGGAGGTTCCCCATCATCATCTCATGTGGCAGGGGACTAGGGTTCTGCCACAGGGAGATGTTAAGTTCTGTCCTTGCTGCTCCTGTGAAGGTCTGAGCCACTCTGTATGTGCAGCACAGAGCCAACTGTGACGTTCCATGGGTTCTTCTCCAGCTCCGAATCAGAAGCCCGGGGGCTATAGTGGGGGACAGAACCCCTGCCTCTGAACCTTTCTGTTGGACCAAACCCACCAGCCACCGATTTCACCATCTGGTTTGGACAGAGCTGAAAACTCATGCCCTGAAGCCAGCCGCAGAACCTAATTTGGATGTCGGCAGAGCTTCCTCATTCCCTTGTTACTGATCAGTTCAAATCTCCATCCCCTGCCCCTGCTACCCTCTTCCTCCAAAATGCTGCTGCAAAGAATCAGGGGAAGGGATAACTTTTATGAGTGAATTTCAGTGCCCAGTCAGGAGTGGCAGCCCCTGGGGCCTGGCTCCTGTGCCTATGGAGAAGGTGACTCACTAAGGTAGGCCAAGGAGAAGCAGGACAAACCACATAGAATCATAGGACTGGAAGGGACCTCAAGAGGTTATCTAGACCAGTCCCCTACACTTATGGCTGGACTAAGTATTATCTTCTAGACCATCCCTGACAGGTGTTTGTCCAACCTGCTCTTAAAAATCCCCAATAATGGAGATTCCACAACCTCCCTAGGCAATTTATTCCAGTGCTTAACCACCCTGACAGTTAGGAATTTTCTCCTAATGTCCAACCTAAATCTCCCTTGCTGCAATTTAAGCCCATTGCTTCTTGTCCTAGCCTTAGAGATTAAGAAAAACAAATTTTCCCTCCTCCTTTCAACAACCTTTTATTGAAAACTGTTGTCATGTCCCCTCTCAGTCTTCTCTTCTCCAGCCTAATCAAATCCATTTTTTTCAGTCTTCCCTCATAGCTCATGTTTTCTAGACGTTTAATCAATTTTGTTGCTCTCCTCTGGACTTTCTCCAATTTGTCCACATCCTTCCTGAAATGTGGTGCCCAGAACTGGACACAATCCTGGGCACAATCAGTGCAAAGTAGGGTGGAAGAATTACAACACTCCTGCTAATACATCCCAGAATGATGTTCCCTTTTTGTGGAACAGTGTTACACTGTTGACTCATATTTAGCTTGTGGTCCACTATGACCCCCAGATCCCTTTCTGCAGTGCTCCTTCCGAGGCAGTCATGTCCCATTTCCCACCTACACACCTGTGTGTGTGCTATTTAGGGGAGTTGTCTGGGGAGTTGTCCCCATTCAGGCCTGAAAGTGGAGGCACTGCTGGGGCTGGATCCACAGCCATCGGGCAGATCTGCCAGTTGCATGTAGAAGGGCCCCCAGGAGGCGATTGGTGTGGGCTCCTAGACACATCAGATGAAGTCCTAACAGAGGCTAACCATGCACCCGGCTCTTCACTCGTTAGAATTCAGTGCACAGGGCGGCTGGCTAGGAAGACAATGCTGTTCTCCCGTGACCCTGCTGTCAGGTGACCATTAGCAGAGCCTTTGATTAAGGGGAAGCATCGATGGAAAATAACTCACGCTGGGCACCTGCCAGCTCCCCTCCCTAGCCACTGTCCCTCCTGTGAGTGCCGTCTGAACTCAGCGCCTGATTCTGAGCCCCACAGGGCCCAGCCTGATTCCCCCTCTCCTCCCCCCCCCCGTGCCACTCCCCAGGGGTCCATAGCCACTAGCGTGAAGCAGTCTTATCTGTGCTGTGGCTCAGCTCTCTAAAACCACCAGCCTCTGGCAGCAAGAGCCCTGCCCTGCAGGCCTCCACAGGCCCCGCTCAGGCTGCGCAGGT